AGCAGGATCTCAGCCACTCAGGGCAGTAAAGACTGGAAATGGCATCTCACCTTCTCAGCTGCAGAAAGCTGCCTGCTGGTTCTGATCACGTGTGCCAAAGGTCCCAACGACTTGTGCAGCCACATGCCACGCATGCTAACTTGGCGTCTCCCAGGATGTCTTGGGGAGACCAGAGAGAGAGTCGGAGGCAGGACACCCCCACGGGGCTCAGCACGGCTCTGAACTTCAGTGGGAGCTTGGCAGGAAATGGGAAAGCGAGGGGTGTTTCCTGAGCTGCTTTGCTGGCATGAGGAGTCCGGCAGGGGCAAGCATGCTGCCTCCTGCCTGCGCTAGGGCTGAGGGCAGCATCGGTGAGATGCTGTAGCCCAGTGCTGATATTGTACCTGTCTGCAGAGGAGCACAAGCTGGGTTTGCTGCTGTCCCACCAGCTTGGGCCTAAGGGAGAAGGCATGGGAGCCCCCAATGCCAAGATCTACTTGCAACCTCCGATGCACCCTGGACTTTCCCATTCCCCCAGCCCAGATCTTTCCCTGAGCAGGCTGTAAAGTTCACCCCCAACCATGGCATCCTTTGCTTCACGTGTATAAACCACACGCGACCCTATCTTGCTTCTCCCCCTGCGGGACCCCTGCCATACCTCCCAGGTTCACTGCAACGTAAGCCAGCCTCTGCCCTGAGCGTAGCACTCCTGGAACCCACAGCACTCCAGGTGTTTGGAGATAGAGACAGCGTCGCTCTGGTATCTCCGCTCTGCTCCCTGCCACAGGCTGAACTCTGCACGGGGGTCGCACATAAAGAACGTGGCCCTGCAAAACGGCCATTTCTGCAACTGGCTTTAAAATAAAGGCACGTTATGTAGCATCAGATCCCCTTTCCTGGGGCTCAGGTGAGTAACAACAGGATGAGCAAAGTCAGCTGATCCCAGGGTTCCTCTCTCAGCACTGCTCAGCCTGCACCCAAGACCCTCTTTCCTTTACAGGGGCAGGGGAACATGCCTCCGAGTCTGCAGCACCCACTGAGCTTTCCCTGACAGGATCAGCACCTGCTAAGGGAGGGGAAGTGTCTCAAGCAAGCACTGGCCAGCCATGACCTTGCAACTCTGCTGAGTGCAGACAGGGTGGTTTGGGGTCTCACTAAGGGGAAACAGAGCCTTTCTTTTCTTAGGTGACCAGTTCAAACCAAACTTGGGCTAACTTTAGGGATTCATGGCTCACGTACGAAACGAATGTGTTAGGTCTCAGCTCAGAGCCCCCAGAAAAGCATTTCTATTGACGCTGTGGCTAAAGCAAGGATATCAGATTCATTCAGGCCAGTGGTCTCTTCTCATCTCACAACTCCAGCCAAATGCCCAGTGAGGGGAGGAGGAGAGCAGGAGCCCCTGGACAAAGGACACTGGGACTCTCGAAAGCCGTCTGGCACCAAGGAAGCAGCTTGCCTGCTCCAGGGCTGTATCAAGATGGATCTGGAGTAAAGGCTCCTGGCCAGATTTAGCCTTGGCTGCCATGAATTTGGCTCACTGCAGGAGGGCTACAGCTTAAAGATCTCCCTGTGCTCCAGGCAGGCAATGCAGCCACAGACCAAACCTGCACGTAGCTGCATGTGTGCCTGCATCCGCGTGTGTGGCAGAGGTGACGGACAATGAATCCCAGGTGCCTGTGCCAGGGCTTCCCGTAAATAAGCCTCTGTGGGGTGATGGATGGGCTGGGAAGGGCCTGGAGGAGAATAGATTCAGTGCGCGCTGAGCTAGCAGCACTGCCTGGAGCCGGAGGATGGCATTGTGCAGATAAATGAGGTTTCTCTTCCCTGCTGGGGCTCACTCCATCTGCTTTGCCATTTCTGGAGGCAAAGGCTGGAGAACTTCGTGTACAATCTGCCGAGAGACCCTCCTGCTTCCCAGAGATCCCCAGGGACACAGGCCTGCAGGGACCCCAACTTCTCCCTCACCCCCCGCAGGCAATGCCTCTGCCCAGACTGGGGGCACTTATTCCTGCACGTCCTGGTTGCCTGCTTGGTAAAGAGTGTTTTGCCTGAGCTGTCTCCATGCTGGCACTGCCAGCCCCACCATGCAAACAAAGCCACTCAGCCCCACACACCAGCCCTCTCAGAGAGCCCATGTTACCCAAGGCCTGTTTCTGCCCACTGCCCGCACACTCCTTGAACTCCCCTTTCTCAGCCCTGCCTGCCCTTTCCATTGGTCCCACACCAGTCCCTTTCCCGTCCACATCTGGGGTCCTGCGTGCCCTCAGCTCCCTGCCAGCTGCCCCCGCAGAGTTAGGAGCAGAAGCCAGTCTTTGGACCTGAGCTGTGGCAGTACCAGCTCTTCCCATAGCAGCCAGCTGCAAACACCATGCCACAGGCTGCCAGCCTGAAACCTAAAGAGA